CCTCGCGGGTAAGTTGCTTTGCGATAGTCTTACAAGGAAGTATAAATTATAATGTTGCTCTTATCTAACAGATAATAGGAGTTTGTAATCGTAACACGTTGATGTACTATCGATAAATCTGTGTTAGAGTTTGAAAAAAAAACAAAACTATTAATCGTAAAAAAAATGTAGAAATAGAAAATATTATTCCTCAATGCCAAGTTGTTGCATCCCGGCAGGACTGCTGCGTGCTTTCACTGCGCCGGAGATGGTGAAGGGCGTGCGCTGCAGCAAGTGTTGCCCCGACCCCGCCGGCCCTGCAGGCCCCGCCGACCCCGCGCAGCCCGCCCCCGTCGGTGCTTACACCAAGCATATACGTACTGTTAGCTTCGGGAAGGTATGCCTCTGTTATCTTCGCATAATATGGCCTGAACCGAATATAGTGTACTATGTGTCCTTGGTGTGGCGATGTACGCAGATAATAGTTGGAAATGTACACTTAAGACGCTTATGTGTAGTATCTTAACGACAGTTCCAAAGTACGTATATTGTAGCGAGTGTGTGTGTGTGTGCAGTTGCCGTACTGCCTGTGCCTGCACATCGGGCGCGTGGAGTGGCTGGGCGGGGCGCTCAACAAGCGCGGGGAGTTCGTGGCCTTCCCCGAGACACTCAACATGGCGCCCTACTCCGCCGTGCAGCAGCCCAAGGTACGTACAATAGCTGGCACACACTTTCTTTTGAGACTGAATTACTTACTCGTCTTTTCAACATTCAGATGTAGAGATGATAGAGCTTTAGGAAGATCTAATGTTTCGTCATAAACTGTCTGAAGGACGAATGGTATTAACTAACATTTATTAAATTGGTTTGTATTCAGCAAGTGGATCTAATGTCGCTGGTGGGCGAAGGCCGGCTCCGCGCGGGGCTGTCTGCTCTGAGCGCGGAGGGCGGCGCCGCCGGGGGCGAGGCCGCCGCGCTGTACCGGCTCAGCGCCGCCGTGCTGCATGTCGGGGGCCCGCGCTCCGGGCATTTCGCCACTTACCGACGCGGGAACGGGTTCGAGGCCAAGAGGTACGTTTACATACATAGTTAAGTAAGCAGTGTATATAGTTTGTATAGACTGTCTACAAGAGTTTGCCCCCCGCCAGATGGTGGTACACGTCGGACACGCTGGTGCACGAGGTGTCCCTGCAAGAGGTGCTGCGGTGCGCGGCGTACATGTTGTTCTACGAGCGCGTGCGGCCGGAGCCCGCCATGTCGGCGTCCGCCAACTCGCACCACTTCTAGGGCCGCGCGCGACCCCGGCCTCCAGGGTATCTCCACACTATATCCAATTTCTCACCGGGCCCCACCATATCTTGTGCATCCTAAAGCTGGACCATGCAGTCGCAGACTCCAGTACATGAGACGTAGATCCACATTTTCGAGAAATTATAGCTTCTGCCTCTGTATATAGGCCAGGACCGCACCATTGTTCGGTAATGATATCTAAAATACGGTTCAACCTACACGGTTGTACCGGTCTATAGTAAATTGTAGTCAAGTTCTCATCATCTGATTGTTTCAACTCTCAGCACGCACAGGTCGGAAGCTATACTGTCACGAAAATGAGATCATTGTTGTCACACAAACATTAAAATAACACTTGATTAAAAAGTTTAACTTTGAAAATTTTGGCTGTGCCCTTATCAATTTTACGGAATTCACTCGCGTAAATAGTACCTAATTGTAACGTAATTTTAAATACATAAAGCTCATATTTGATTGACATCAGTATTAGTTATAAGTCTGTTTTTCGAATTCAAATGTACCTAAATGTACATTAGCGAGGATAATTATTAAATTTCCCTACCAACTATAACAATCAGGAATGTACTCGCGTTATCCAAAGAAAATTTCTATCAAATACCAACGTGACGTTAGTCTTGAGCTTTTGTGTGAAGATCTCATCTTGTCATACCCAAGTATATATACCTATTGATAAATATTACTAACATCTTGTAACTTTCCCGAAAACACGAGTCGTGAAATTAATTAACTCATATAAAAAAATTTCCTCGTACATACGAGTGTACAATGTCGCACAATAACGCTACATATCTAAACCAGTGATGTATATATGTGACGGTCTCCTATCGTCTTTGACTTTGGGACATTAGGGGTGTATAAACTTATCTATATTACATTATCAATCAATAATATAATCATTAAACACTATGCTTAGCGCATTCAAGAAAACATTCAGAAAATAGCCACAATCCTTGTCACTTCTCATGTATTTACTGTGCTGTGTTTCATAATGTAGAACTTTCTCGAATATTACCTTAATATGTATCAGGTGTAGGATGTGTCAGGGGTAAGGCAGTCTGTCCCAAGTCAAAGCCATCGTCGGTCGTAGTGTGCTGGACTTAAATTACTTTTCAAAGTTCATTCCCACCGCATTTGCTACATTTTTTATTACTTAGAAAGTAGGTACTATCCTCCATTTTATATAAAAGTTAAATAAAACATTAATTTGCATTTAATACTTATCTGATATCTAATAAATACGTTAATGTTGCATTGACATTACTTCTTATTTCGTATTTATTAATGTCTGCGCAGCCCAGCACACTGCGGCATCTAAAAACATTTTATCTTTACGCAGAGTCTATTTTTCCACTCGGAAATTTAATGTTTTTGTATGAATCTACACGAGTTAGAGCTACATTGATAAAAAGCACTTTCTTCCTGTAATATCGTAGGCATTGCGTATATAAAAATTGCGTCTCGTCGATTGACTAACCGAGACGAACCTAGTAAACTATGAGCCATTGCGTGGCTTGGTCGACTTCTGTATAGATATTTCGTAAAACTTTGCTCCTAAGGAAGGATTACTATGGTGCACTGCTACTAATAGTACTAATTGAAAGCTATTCTATATTAATATGTACTAGTGCATGTAATACATTTATTTAGAATCCACATAAATTAACTAAATTGTGATCTTCGTGTGATGTTTCAACACCTGTGTGCCATCGACAAGGAGGGATATTTCAAGCTCTCGCTTCTCTCTGTATTTATAATGATAATAATTATATTTAGACACAAATGTCTAACAGGCAATTTGTCTGTTTGTTTCTGTGTGATGGCTCGAACTTGGCAAAACACGCTATTTGTAATAGTAATTGTATCGATGTTGCATTAAAGTGAACTTATTACTGCTCCGATAATTTCGTCTAACTTGCTATGACTTTACATTTTTTTCTATTTAATCGGTCGCGATAAATAACACTTCCAAATAAGAATGTATAGATAAAATCTAAATTCTTCACGTTATTGCAACATTTTACATAAATTAAGCTATTTGTAAGGCTCTTCTTTTACCTTTGATTCAGGATTGTGCTGATTCTTATTGATACATAGCTGGATAGTTGATCCAAACTAATTAACCGTTTGACTACTTTATTCTGTGAGATAACGCAATATTATCTACTGTTTTGTAATTTTGTCGTCCAAACGTTGATGTAACTTAGGACTACTTTAGAAGTGTATCTTTCTTATTGAGCATTTTTCTCATCACGCGGCAAGTCCCAATAAATATAATAATACTCGCTCGGGCAGCCATGACCGCATTCTTAGCATGTACTTATTGATGCATTTATTTTTACAATAATGACTTGTCCAATCGTCCTTCCTGTATATAATTATAATGTTATATTCTAATGAGTCACTTGAAAATCTAATTTTCTAATTACTATATCACTTTTTTTGTAAATTAACATTTTTGGAGGCTAAAGTCCACTTGTGGCAATTTTTGAATTGTGGTGAGAGGGAACATTGGTGCCTAAACTGTGGCCATTTGTGACAATGACTGAGCAGTGTTGCCATTTGTATCGTTATCGCATAAACATAGCTTTAGATGTTATTTATTGTTTTGACGGATGTAGGCTCGATGCGGTTCTTTGGTGCAGTAATACTTGGTGGTCAATATTAGTTGCCATATTTGAAGGATTATTATTGTACTTTAGAAAAGGCTTTTAATGAATGGACGTCGTGCCACGCGCTTCACAATTAATTATGTTTTTATGTAACATTATATAAATTGTAAATAATATTAAATTAAATTTGCGTATAATTTTACTAATATTTCAACAACACAAACAAAACATTGTGTTGATATAAAATATTTGAAAGTGAATTTATTCTTGTTGTTGAAATTAATTGTAAGATGCTAAGAACTGTTTTGAGCCCACTCAGTATGAGTCATACTGAGTTATAATATTTCAGTTTAGTTTAAGATGTTGTGCAATCATAATATATTTTGCAACAATTATTTACATGTATTAATTTTCATTTAATACATTTTGCTAAATCTGAAGTTTGTTAGGTATATATATATTCATAGAGTATGTAAAAAGAGTCATCCTATAAACATAAACTTGTTATATTTTGAGTACTGTTCTATATAACAATGTGTTACTATAATTTGTTGCACAATGTAATATTGCACAACATTCTAAATAAAAGTATGAATACTCATACCTGAGTGCAACAGTTCAATGAAATTTATGAGTTTGAGGAGGTGGATGATAGTGTACTGGGAATAGAGTTGTACAATGAATATATTTCATTTTCTATGAGAAATGAATGTTTAGAAAAATCTTCCCGAGTACACTACACTTGGTTATTTCCAATTGTTAGAGAATAATGTAAACTTTTGTTAGTTTGCCTTTAGGATATTGCTTGGCATAATATTTTGTTACGGTTTAGTTAGTGTTGGCAACCATTGAACTTCCAGAGACATGTGGCAACTGTAGATAGATTGGATTGTATCTAAAAAATGTTTATAAATAAAATGTATTATAAGTGGCCTAGTGTTTGTGTTATTGAAGTAAATCCCTTCCCGAGTAATTACACAAATAGCAATTTCACTTATTCAACTATTTATTTTTTTGGTAAATTATAGCAATAGTATTGTGTATTAATTAAAAAGCAATTCCAATTAATCAAAATTTATTTTCTTATGTTTACACATAAAACATGGAGAATATTCAATTCAAGGCTCATTGGTTTGGTAAGAAATCTGATCAACAAGTTATAATTTCTGTGCATAGTGGGTCGGAATTTACACAAATAATATCACAAATAGTCTGGTACATCAAGTCCTCTGTTAGGACATGCTGTCAATGAGCGATGCTCTCATTGTTGATGTGATGGCTGTGGGCTTGGCATCATTCAGCTTAAATACACTTTCTATAACTGAGATTTCTGTTGATGTTGTGTCTAAGCCACAGAATGCGCACCAGTCGTTGACTACCATCCCTGCAGCAATGACGTCACTACCTCTGTTCACTGTGCCAGCTACTAGTGGTACTTGCAGCAGAGATGACAACTCATCCTGGTCTTGAATTGTGGTCTTCGGATGAACCAGTCCACCTCGATTACTGAGCGCAGCGTACGAACCGACTAAAACATTTCCTGCGACTGTTTGTCTGAACACTTCCACATCCAGTGTGTCTGCTAGTATTTCCTCTGTGTCTCGGTCCAGGTCTGGGTGCACGAGTGCTACATAGTCATTGCAGGCGATCACGTTCCCAAGTGCGCTGAGTCGCTCTTCCACACGCTGCACTTTGACAGCGTCCGGTAAACTGTTTCTAATGTGTTGCAATTCTGTGTCTGTTGTCGATGACGGAACCAGAAGTCCATTTTTGTTACCAACCGTCATACGTCCAATGATCCTGCACCCTGCAATGCTCACATGAACTACAGGGATGGTTTCAGACAATTCTGCCTCAAACACGCTGTAAAAGTTTTCCGATCCACCGATTGCGACGAGGCAATAAGAATTTGTCAATTTACTGAACACTCCTACTTCATTATTATTTTCAAATTGGACGCGGACTGCCATGATTGTGTCTTGAACAAACTTAACTTGTAATTACAAAGTATTTCACAACAATTGAGCTTCACGTGGGAGAAAAGGAAAAATACGGGGGTCTTCGATTTTGGTTACGTTTACGTCACTTTGACAAGTAAATCGCGATTTTATTTATCTCTTGTTGAGTTCCACTCCTATAATACAATTCTTAGCATTACGTTACGCCGTCTCAGTCTTTCAAGGGTTCGCCCAATATAATGCTATCTTTTTCATTTCATTCGTTACAGATACTATTACGGGAAGAAGCTCAACGCTGTTTGTGGTATTTTATTCTACGAGTAGTGGGATTGCCTATGGATTTATGGATGTGTTCTGAATTCGAAAAAGGGATTTTTTAACGGATGCGATCCGAATAAAAAAATATTTAAGTCAGAAATCAGAATAAATAATCTATTTTGAAATACATAAAAAAATCCATGCGTTCTGCCACCCTGACATGACCTGTTAAAGTTAAAAATGGATGAAAATATATAATTTCGTATTTCGATTTAACAAAATTAAAAGTATGATTGTGATTCGCGATGAAGATGAAAGATGCGTAAATTTGTAACATTCAATTTAATTGATTGCAATGATAAGGAGTTATTCCCAAGTGATGTTATTCAAAACTTGAGGCAGGCTGTGTTTGTTCCAATTGCTTACAAGCCGAAGATCCAACAAGCTTTACAACGAGTGGACTTCCAATATCATAGGAGCTGTAGTTACTCGAATCTCTTGCGGGTATACTTTCATCCTTGCTTAAAGTTGTACCTATTACTTAATATTTGCCGAGTTAATCTTAAAGAATCGGTATTTCTTTCACATTCTATTTTATCACCATAATTTTACAAAAAAAGCGCTGCAGTTTTCATCAAAAAATAAAATAGTCTTAATAATATATTATATATATTTAGGAGTGTAATGTTGGCGAAGGGGAGACCCTGTTGATGTTCTGGGGCTACGAACGCTCTGACAGCAGGGTTACCATGAGCATGTCCGCATCTAGCTGCTCCTCGTTGCACACACCGGTAAGAAGTCCCTACTTAACGTAGTGCTTATATTCTCTTTGGTCCCTACTATTTTATTCATACTCACGTACATTTTAAAACGTGCGCAATATGTAGGTATGTATTACCTAATACACACTTCGTGTATTCGGCAATGTATACTTTACCTACTCTCATGATGCACATTACGATCCCCAGATAAATACGCCCAGCATCCAGAGAGATAAGGAACTGCGTTCAACGGCCCAACAGACTGATATAAGCTGTCGGTACTCTCCCGGCATCTCTTCACCAGGTACTCGTAATTCATATGAGTTGAAGCAGATTATTATAAAAAACATATAACAACAACTATCGCATTAAAAGAACGCAAATCGGAGAGCTGAGCAAGGTGTGTCTAGTCACGATTTATGGGTTGCCTTAAGTATTACAGGGATTTTTATGTTTAAGTTATCGGTAATAGGTCGGAGTCTGGAAACGTGCCGAGTACTACAAATATTAAGCATTATACAACTTGATAAGAATCTATATGATATAATGATAAAAAGAAACTTGGTAAGGAAAAGTGTATCTCATATTGTTGTTACACATATTATGTGCAGTTTGCACCCCTGTCTACACCTGGTTCGAGGGCTCAAAGCCGCGACGAGATATGTCATAGAGAAGTATTAAAGTTTTAACGTGGTAATTAATCAATAACAAGTCAAAGTCGATTAGGATCACAAGAATTATATTATTATATAAATATTAATTAATGGTATTGTAGCGAATCCAAATGACACGGAGGAGCAGCGGCAGATGCGTGCGCGCATCGCAGACTCGCTGACGTTTTCTTCTCCCGCATCATCTCTGGTGCAGCCAGCGGGCCGCTCCATGTCCATCCTGAGCTCTGTCTGCGCGCTGCTGCTCAACAAACAGGTGCAGCTGCGTTCCAATCACGTGTTACTACATTTATGGCCTATCGTAGTATTTGGCTGTTGGTGTTACGCCGAAAACAAAACTTAACGCCAGTCATTTGAAATTTTCGTTGTAGTACTTATTTCAACAAAAACATTAGCGCTGACGTAAAAACCTAGTTTGGGGACGGGAATCTATTTAAACTGTTGAACTGCCAAAACGTTTACCTAAAGTTAGCAGGTAGGTACCTACTTTATGATTATTGGGAAATGTGAACAATAGAGTTTGGGCTTGCACTGTCGTTAGGGCTCGCAAGCCGCGAAGGAGGTTTCGAGCTTCACGGGCAGCCTACGCTCAGATAACATCTGCCGCATCTGCTTCGGCGGCGAGTCTGCTGAGCGTCTGGTGCGGCCTTGCTCCTGCAGGGGCACCATCGCCGCCGTGCACCGCTCCTGCCTGGAGCGCTGGCTGCTGCAGGCCGCCACTTCCTACTGCGAACTCTGCAGGCATCACTACATTGTCACCAGGAGTCACAAGTGAGTTGCTCACATGTTTCAATTATGACATGATAGCTGTTAGTTTCTGACTTGTAACTCGAGGCTGGTCTACACAGATGCTTGGTGTCATTTACGAAAATGCGTGTGGACTTTGCTAATTTTATTAGAAACTTTGGGAGTCTATTACTAGTAATTCGGTCCAGATGGTCATGGATGCGGTCGATGGCGGAGTGGGCGATGTCAGGGCGCGGGCGCGCGCTGGCGGCGGACGTGTGGCGCGCGCTGGCGCTGGGCACGGCCAGCGTGCTGGGCACGGCGCGCGCGCTGCACGCCTGCGACGCCGTGCTGCAGGCCGGCGCGCGCCGGGGCGGAGGCGCCGCGCTCGCTGCCAACCTCTTTTCCTCGTTACTCATTGGAGTTATAGGTGAGGCTCGAGAAAGTTGGAACAGGCCCCACGCTTGGACACTTTATTTGTGTTTATTTTGATTAGGAATAACAAATATAATACCAACGTGATTAATGAGGCGGACATTTTGTTTTATTGTGGGATGATATCTCATTGTCTCAGATACACCATAATCACTGCTGGGTCTTTCCATGGTCACACCAGGCGCTCTCAATGGACTATTGACAACGTGGATGCTGCTGAAGATCCAGGAGCACCAGCTGTCGTGGCAGGCGTGGCGTGACAGCACGCTGCACGTGCACGTCACGCTGGCGGACGAGGAGAGCACGCTCACCCCCCACCCCTCGGACGCTACGGTGGTGGGCGATGAAGATGGCAACGCGACGGCCGACAGAAGCACTAATATCGCCGACCCTTTTATGGTTGCACTCCCGTACAATCTGCCCGACCCATGAAGTTAGTATAATTCGATCCTGTATTCTCGCTTACACTTCCACTTATTGCATCATCACGGAGCCGTGGCAGACATATTCACACAATTCGTTTGATATTTAGATAATACGTCTTAGGCTGAGAGAATTCAAAGGGGTTCGAACTTGGGTTCAGCGAAGGCTTTGAGCGTGTACTTTAGAAGACAGATTGGGTCCGCATTTACCTGTTTCGTTGAATTAGCATTATTACAAGTATTCCCTAATCATCAACATCTGGAAGATGTCCATTACTGGTTAAAGCAGATGAAGGACTAGGGGCTTTGTTTTGGACGCGATATCGATTGATACTTACGGCTCTTTATTGAACCTATGTGATAGCATTTAATCATGTCTCGTATAACTTTTCGAGAAAGATTGACTATACATATCAAGTCTTTTTTTTATGTAATAGTTCGGCAAACGAGCAGACGGATTACCTGATGGTAAGCAATCAGGGACGCCCATGGACACCCGAAACAGAGGAGTTACGAGTGCGTTGCCGACCTTTTGGGCATTAGGGATTTAGGGATAAGGAAAGGATTGGGGGTTTTTGAAGTTTTGCTTATTTTAAAGATATTAAAATGATCGATGTAATACATTAAGTATAACAGTGAATGTGTTTTTCATTATATATTATTATTTTGTTCACAGGTACAACTTCACGCTACATACGCAAAAAATATTATTCAAGTCTTTATTTCGACTAAATTAAATTTCTGTCTGGAGGCACGGCAGTGATCCACCAAGTTACATAATTTGCAGCAACGATGACTCTGTCGTTTCTGAGTTTCATGTTTACTACCGGCGCTTGTTTTATCATTTTAATGGGATTGGTAATGCTGCGGCATATCCGAGATGAAAGACCAATCTCTTAGCAACTACAATCTAAAAAAATACGATGTAACATGTTTACTAAGTACCACGTGACTTTCCGAAGTTCCCGTGTCGTTCAGGGGTCCGGGACCGCCACGCCTGCTTCGAGCTAGACAAGTCACCGTAGCTCAGAATTTTATCAAATAAACATTTTTTTATTTTGCTTTATATTTTGTTGAATTTATTTGTTTTTAGTTACGCCTATATATGACTTCACGCTCTTCAATGGGCACTTTCTAATGTCACCCACAGGAATATTTGGCTTACTAAATAAAATCTTAACGACTTTTGATAAAAATATTATGTTTATTATTACGAGACTGACGTCAAAAAGTTGTTAATAGATGAAACAATAGTTAGGCTTTGCAGATTGAGTGATACTAGAGAGTGCGCCATTATAATAGTTAAACATTACGACATATAGGCTAGTTAAAATATAGTCGTGACAGCAATATATTATTTTGTTGATAACTACAGCATACCTTACTAAAATGTTTTGAATAAAACTGTAAATAATTCACAAACGTTTTGTTAATCAATATTTATTTCATCATTATCAATATAAATTAACATAATAATCATATAATAATATCAAATTTCATAAAATCAGTAGCGAATACATGAAGCCGCTGTTATTATTAATATCAAATTCATAAAATATGTTAAATATAATCGTGAAACAGTATGTACACTGATAAACAAGGATACTACTCTCTTATGTGAATATATAAGTGCGAGCGATCCTCAGCAGTGCGTCACTACGCTATGACCTATCTGTAGTCGCTCGGTATATAAATGTTAGTTAACCTTACAAGCTAAAGTAGAAAAAATCACATGTTGAGATAATAGTAAATAGGAGGACTGTATCGAGACAGCGCTTGGAGATACGAGTTGGGCGGACACTGACATATAAACATTTATAACAAACGAACAAATCAACAACATACGCTCTTTGGATTTATATAACACACTTCGTAACATAGTATTTGTGACTACGGCGCCCCCGACTCGGCGCTGACGCCTGAGTCCCCGGCGACGTGAACACCGTCTACTGCCAGCACGCTACTGCGCAACGGGAGACACTTCAGCTGACAGAACTACTGTCGACTAAATACTGAAGCCTTCTAAAAATAATCGCCAGCTTAGACTGCAAGGGAGTCCAATCAATTACCCCTCGAGGCCTCGGAATGTTCGTGGTGACAGTATACGGTGTCCACGTGCTGCGTGTAGGCGACAGGTGGCGGTCAGTCCTGGTCCTTGAACCGGCGGTAGATGGACTGCACGTATGTGAACACACACTTCCAGTCCGGTTTGCGCATCGCCACCATGTCGTCCACGTCTAGCAAGGGATAGATGCCCGCCTTCTCACTGGAAGTAACGCGTAAAAACGTGATTAGTTGTTCCAACTATCTTCATAATATGTATACAGCATGACTGTCTGCTTATTTGGTTTTCGTATACAAATGCATATACTTACTCGGCAATTTTGAAGGCGAGCGTAAAGTTGTGTCGGCGTTTCTCAGGCGAGAGCTTGGAGTAGTCGAAGGCGTCAGGCAGGAAGTGGTGCACCAGCGCGCAGAACGCCAGCCCGTCCGCCCAACTCGTGGAGAAGTTCTCCAGCTTCACATTCTGGACAAACACGAACATCAATGTTATACTACGTTCATGTTGAGGAAGGATTTTAGAAAATTATATTTCATGAATCCTTGCGTAACCTTTACACTTGTTCTGTAATAAATCATAATTTTAAAACTTATACCGTCTATTGGTGCAAATAAAACTTAGTCTAAGTATTAAGTTCGACTACACAAAACGTATAAATATTGGAATTGTATCGAGGCACGAGGGCACTGTGCGGCTAAATACGCTGGTGCGGTCGGATTGCTATCTACAAAGTGAGCTTCCAGAGTTAATGTATTCTCATTAGGCACAAAGTGTTCACCCATTTTATTTACAAGTCATACTCAAACTAATTTGGACATTTATATCTAAAGTTAAAAACACAAAACCATGCAAATTCTGGAACAGTTATATTCACACTCCAATAAACGTATTGCTATTACGATAACTCACAAACCCATGCTGTAACTGATTCTATGTTCAGTTGCTTCAATAATAATTAGTAATTACCTTGTCGTTGGCTTCAATAAAACTTCAAATTCAAATAAATGGTCCGTAAAACAATATTCCCAAAACAATGTTGGACTTACACAAAATACTTAGACCATGAATAAATGTAGAATACGTTATGGGTAGATGGGAGCCAAAGTTATATAATTTGGTTGTGTGACAAATGAATACATAAAGTAGTATATATGACACAACGTACGTATAAATATATACAGAACAGAATACAGAGAAGTAGCAGCCAAAGTGAAGCGATAAGAGAAGCGTGGAGTATGAGTGACGTCATCAACGTGTGTTAATGCCATATGCGCGTGCGCAGCGTACGCTAACAACATGCTACAACTCGATAACGCGGTTAAATCCGTTAAATCCGAAGGGTCTTATGTTAAGGCAGATGCAAATTTTGTGATATCGACTTCCGCGCGGCATTGTCACCATCTCCGAATGTTGTCAAAAATATGCATTTGCCTGTAGTAGCCGCATCCATAACCTCCCCAATACGTGTGTGGACTAGAAATGTTTACTTGCGGTGTGTTATGTATACGCATCACGCGGTACGCAGTGGGGGTGTTGGGTGCGGACGGAGGAGGCGGGAGGTGTGGAGTGTACCTCGTAGTCCCGGGTCTTGTCGCGACACCACTGCAGCAACCGTTCTTTAATAGTGACGGCGCTGGCTTGCAGCGCGGGGTCCGTGAACTTGAAGTAAGGCTGCGCCGGAGAGCCCGGGCTCTGCGGAGTCTTGGGCGAGCTACAACCGGGGACGCATGTTAGTCACCGAGCCTCGTCTAGCTGCGACCGAGCCGGTTAGTTGGTCGACGGTCAAACGATTAGTTCGTGTGCTACGGAGCGCGTGTGCTATTACATTAATGGGGGTCGCTGGTTATTTACAAGACGCGTGCTGATGTCAACTAGATGTCAAGCTATCAGCCGAGCTTTCTCATCAACGACTATTGAAGGTTCTCATCACAGGGTAAGTACACACGTGCGATTATTGACAGAGGCCTCGTATGTACTTAGCCTTATGCTTCTCAAAAAATGATTATCGTATTAAGCGTCTAATATACATGTTATATGCATATCATTAACTTGTATATTTACTTGTATCTAATCCTTATTCGTATCCACAGATATGGCTGCCAAAATAAATAAAATATATTGCATTACATTACGTATGAAGCGAAAAGATCTTATACATAAAATATAGTATTTGAATGGTAAGGGGATTCATGTATCGGTTGTAATATTTTGTAAGGAAACTTGATATTGTTGTTTAGCCTCGTATGGAAAGACTTGGGACTTACTTGGGACTGTTTGTTGAGTTTTGTTTTTCGAGTTGCCGGAACTTGGCGAAGGGCGACACGGGCTTGGGCGCCGGCCTGGTCATACTCTCTATCACTGCGAAATGTCAATGTTTCACATTAAAAATAATTTGTTTACATGAAGGTAATAAATATTGCCAGAGGTTTGGAAGCCACCCTACCTTTAGATGTCTTAACAGTTGTGGTGCTACTACTAACAGTTTTTTCTGACGAGTTCCTCCTCACGCTCGATGTCACAGTTACTTCCTCTTCCTCTGCAAATAAAACGTTCTCATTAATTGATTGAAGCTGGTACACATGCGAAGAAATCTAACACTAACTCGAACACTTGGAAAACAATCAGCAAGACAATACAACAATAACCTATAAGCTATTAGTCAAATAACACGGTTATGGGGCGCTATGAAGATGGTACGGTTACGAGCACATATGTACATCGACGTGATAGCGCGGGCGCAGGGCCAGAAGGGGCCGGGGGGGCATGCGGGGCGGGCACAAGCACAGACCCACACACACACGACTCACGCGCGTCTCGCTCGTCTCTCGCTCCTAACTAGTGGAATGTTGCGACGCTACGCTACGCGAGCGCCGACACCAGGTCCTCGAACGCGTCCTCCGTGTTGCTCTCGTCCAGGAACTGCAGCTCCGACACCGTGGGCATGGTGCGGCTGCGGCCCAGCGAGTACGGCTGCGGCGGCGCGTACGACTGGCGCAGCGCGCGCGGCCGCGAGCTGCCCGCTGACGGCCGCGCCTGCTGCGGCTGCTGGCCAGAGAAGTACGCCTCCACTGTTCGCTTCTTTTCGGTTATTTCCTCACGCGCTATTCCACCCTCATACAACTTGGGTACAGCTAGGAGGTGCATGGATTTGGCACGAGCGACAACGCGACGCGGTGAGGCTGACTTGGGGCTGGCTACCATTTGATGCCACGAGCCAGATCTGCTGAGCGGGTTGGAGCCGAGGCTGCCAGCTGACTCGCTCGACAAGACGGACTCGCGGGACGCGGCCAGACCACCAGGGGAGTGGGTAGCGTGCGGGGAGGCGGGCGCGAGCAAGGGGGAACGGCCGGTATTTACAGGGGCCCGTACCTGGGACCTCGCCGTTTCACGTTTTTTCCTTTCGATCTGGTTGATGACATCATTTTTCGGTGATGAGAGTTTGTCCAATGCTCCGCGTAGACTGTCAGCAGCCGAGCCACGACGACCCTCGTCGTTACGTGTGCGCACCCCCGCGGTGATAGTGGCCGCGCCGCGCACCGGGCCACGCATCACCCGAGTCACCACACTGTCGTGCTCTGTCGTTACACCTTCGTCGACACCGTTCGCGTACGGCACATCACCATTCTGGTACGCGTGGGGCGATTCTGTCACGTTGGTGGCTCGTGGGGAGTATGGACTGGCGGGTGCCCGGCCCTGTAGAGGGGAGGCACCATTACGTTGTCTATCAGTATCGTTTGTGACAACATCTGGCAGATAGTCCACTTTATGGGCGCGAGCTTTCTCTATATCTGGAGTGCGCTGCAGGGGGACAAAAGTGGATATACCATTGGATGGAGTATAGTCAGTAATAGTATAGGCCGGGGGCGCGGGTGGTTTACGTTCCATGGGGTCGCTATGACCGTTCGTGACTGTTTCGCGACGGTTCTTTTCACGAATCTGTTTTTCGTAAAATTCAATTTGTAATTTTTGTGCGTCGACCTTAGGTAAATATGCATCTTGCGGCGGGAGCTTTGTGTCGTCTGCTTTCCTTACGAGCTCTGGAGCAGAGAGGTCGTTCTGACTGGGTATTGTCTTCATCGGGTAGTTTACTATTTGTGGGGGCGCGTGAGTCTGCGGTGCAGGCGGGTGGAACGCGGATGGACGTTCTCGGTAGGGCGCCGGTGCCAGATCTTGCTTGTTTGCCTCGAATTTGGTAGCGGCTATACCAACCACCCTCCTTGGTTTGTCAGCGTCTGTTGCCCAAGGTTTGCTGGGCGCGGGAGGACTTGGGGCAATAGGCCCTGGATTTACAGGGAACGCGGGAGTATGGTCGACTGGCGGAGAAGTCACGTTCATGACGGATGGGGGACTCCATATATACGCGGGAGCCGCTGTTGGTGACGTCACCTTAGTTGGTGGTTTAAATGCGGACATAGGCGCGTGAGAAAATTGATTGACAGGTATGGGCCTTGCCACGAATGGTTTGACGACCAGTGGTTTTGTGGGGGACTGCGGCACAGGCGGGTGGTGCGGTGGCGCAATTGATGTCGCTAAATTTATAGGCGCGGGCGCCGGTGCCGGCGCTGGGGGTAGTATTGGCGCTGAAGTCGGCGCTGCGACAGGCGCAGGTCGATGGGTAGGCAATGACACAGGTGCGGTCGATGGTGCAGGTGGGTGCTGCACTTGTCGCGGGATGTGGACACGCATTGGTTCTCTCCGTTCGTTCACCCACGGGGGCTTTACTATGTCATTATTATTCGCATTAAAGAATTTTCTAGGTCGCGCACTGGCTGGATTCACTGTAGTCTCGTCTGCGGTACGCCAGAAGCGACGCGCGGAAGATGCACTTGACGACCTACTGTTCACGTTGATGTTATCTTCTCGTTCACGGCTTTCAAAGGCATTTTTAATGTTTCCAAACCTGCTACTCCAGTTTGCGGGCCCATTGATATTAGCAGAGTCGCGGTCGGCCGTTTCATTTTTCTTCATGAATGCTACAAATTTTCTATCATTCTCAGTTTGAGGCCTGAACTCGGGCACAATGGGTCGGGGAGATGTCTCGTCATCATTGTCACTATCGATGCGGTACCCAGCTAGGGGCCTTCCTATGTCGATAGTGTTAGCGCGTTTCATGCGAAGCCGTTTGTTGTTGCTGCTCGAGAACCTATTAAGTGGTTTAGAGTCATCTTGAGTCGCGGTCGGTGGTGCTGCGAAGTTGTATGTGGGTGGAAGGGGCATGTATAATGGAGCACGCTTGTTAAATTCCTTTTGTTGTGTGCTCACGGGTTCAATGGGGGCGCGTCTAGGTATATTCTCTTTTTGAGCACGAGAGTCAAATTTATTAGCAATGGCCGCGATACTGCTCTTAGAGTCGGAGGGACGCCTCTCCATTCTCGGTTGTGGTTGGTACGATTGATGAAGTGGCTGGGGCTGGTAAGGAACGTGTGGCACACGTGCGTGTTGTGGCTCCTGCGCCGGAGGGGTGGGCGGCGCTTGTTGTTGCAATTGTTGGAAAGGTTGCATTTGTTGATGAGGCTGAGATCTCTGACTACCCGTATCGGCCACTGAATGCCGATAAAAGTCTGGCTTTCGAGTAGTAGGAGCCCGTTTTTCCACAACGACGTGGGCGTCCCTATTCACTTTTGGGGCTTCGTAGCTAACGGAGTGCGCTACTGGTGTGGGTTTCTGTCGGGATGCCACTGCATCGTGATAACTGACGTTCTCGTCTATACTTTGTTTACGTTCTGGTGTAGAAGGTTCGTCAGTGCTGGTTGCCATGGAAGCAGTCGATGTGGCGCCAGAGGATAAAGGACCTTTAGCGCCGAGCGCTAGTTGGTCTCGGTCAACTAGGCGACGTGCCTCCTCTAGCTCCTCGTGTGTGACGCCGACCGTATGCCTGGCTGCACGACTGCGGCGACGCGGCTTTCGTCGGCATCCATCTAGCCTATCTGCAGCATCGAGGGCATCTTCAAGCCGGTCGGCAAGGGAGAGGAGGGCGCGTGCCTGTGGGTGTTCCGTGGGGGGCGCAAGGGCGGCGCGCAGGCGGCCCAGTGAGCGCCGCACGTCCGCTACCACGTCGGCGGGCGCGGCGCCTAGCCCAGCTAGCAGGCGCTCGCCGCCACCGCCTAGCAGCCCCTGCAGCAGTGGGAGGAGGAGGGACTCACCACGACTGTCGCCTTCTGCACCTTCAGCTTCACCTGCCGCCGCCAAGGCCTCCGTCACGGCGCTCGCGCACGCTGGAATATTAAACATTAGTTTATAATGTATTATTAATGATTTTAGTAATATTATAATCTGAAAAAAGTTATAAACACATGTTTCTAACTTTTTTTAATGGTTTTAATGTTTTATGGCTTGGCATGGTGTTACCTGGTTTTTTATATTTCTGAATGAACTCTGTAAATAAATTTAAATCTATTTCACATTACAATAACGGCACTTGACAATGGTTATAGGTATCCGAATGGAGGGTAGCCTGTGTTAGTGAGTTACAACCCATACATTGTGGAGTATCCTTCTATTGAGAGTGATCGCACTGACCACTCCCAATATATAGAGCTGGTGCTCGTGTTATTGATTACCTTCTTGTTCAGCCATTAGTGTGCGTATGCGCGCGCGCAGTCGTCGACGTTGCTCGTAGTCGTTGCACTCGTCCAACTGTAACAAATAAAGTTATCATGACCATGAAACCTAAGTTACATAAAATGATGCGATGCCAGACGTGTCGGCACACGAACTCACACAGAGCTGCTGAAATCCTCGTAACATGACGCAGTATCACTCTAACACCGTGCTTGTTGGTTTACCTGCGCGTGCGCACTATTACTGTCCTCTACCGCAACTGTGTACATGCGCGTACTATTTACTCTGTTGTTACTGGCCACTGAGGTGAAGAGATGTGCACATTGGACTGTGCGGAAACGGAATGATGTTCGGATGACGTTGAAGAAGCAAGTAACTTCGTTGAATAATAGTTTTGGTTTAGTATCGCTTCATCAATTGCTTTCTTATCTTCACAAAGTCTAAGTGACTAATTTTGTAACTATGTACAATAAAAGGACAGTGACTCAAGTGTCCCATACAATGGACTCGGATGGCGCCATTTTTTTATCAGTGCCTTGACTTTCCAATCATTATTGCATTAATAAATACTTAAGATAATTTGGTCAGAAAGATAACTAATTATTTTTTTCTCCATTGATGTCCACCAGAAATCCAGTTCTACAATAAAATGATTACTCGTCCAGTGTGCACACTCCCTAAGCGCACTTTCTGCACGAGTGCTCAAGTTGTCAATAAGTGACGTTTGTATTGCGGGCGGTAACCGGTTCGAGTACCGTGCCATGCCGGAAGTACCTACTCCTAGCCGAGCCGGAAGTAAGCGCTGCTCTCAATTGCACCGCTTTGTTGGGGAGCTGATGACTTGACAAAGTGTGGTCATTAATCATGACACTAGTTGGTGTCACTCGTTGATAATATTTATTTACATTATTTTGTAAATCTTACGCTGTTCTATCTCGGAAGAAAAATCGTAGGATTAAAGATTGTATGTAACTAAGTTATGTAAACACGGTAGATTTAATATGAACAGTGTCTCATTATAATGATTCGTTGTGACATTTCTCAGCCGGTCAGCACTGAGTCATAGTCATAACTGATACTGATCAGTGTCAAGTACACAGGTTCACACGCTGCGTCAGCGAAAGTGATTGGCTATGTTGTTTATGTTATAATTTGTTTGTTATAATTATTTATTGTGAATTAAATTAGAGGAAGAAATATACAGAATCAATAAAAGTATTTGATTATCTTAAATATTGTCATTTGCACAAGAAGCGCGTGCGCAGTAATTCGTGTAAAATTTGACGCGTCGCGGTGCGCGTGAGTGGACGACGCGTCACCTCGTCACACCGTGAAAGCCGCTAGGTACCGATTGCCAATACTTTCGTTGCCGTGATTTGTTGACGTATTGTCTGAGGTTACACTGCTAACGATGCTGTTTACGTTTACTTGTATATTATTATTTCTTATAGACTTTAATAGTCGGGATTTGCCATCAATGTATAATGTTTCCTATATGGTACCCATGATAGCTTTATTATCAAGGAGAATATAGGTACCTTCTTTGCTTTATAACGAACGAAATATAGCAACTTATAAAACAGAGATCTTTCCCTAAGCTTAGCGATTACGTTTACAGTTAAAATAGCAATGTTTTGAAACTCGATTAACCGGCGGAGGACCGGAATGAGTCAACTAATAGTTAATGAATGAAAGTCGTATGAATGGAGACGAGACCGGTCCGCAACCTGGCCGGGTGACTCACTCGACACCATTGGGTATACACTGAATATTAGGACCAGGTAATATGATAAATTATTTAAGTATTTACACATTAGATAAGTAGAAAAATCTCTGTTCCCGTATAGGTAAGTATATCCTTTCTTTTCCATTTCAAAACATTGTTGTTCTACCATTTATTGTAAATAAGCTTTTAAGAAATCAATAGGTGTGACTGAATAAAGTTATAGGTACTTTAATTAAGGACCGAACCTACATTGTCTAAGATCGACAGTAATAATGATTGGGTACTCACGAGTTTCCTGAGGAGGCGCTCGTCCCAGCACTGGTCTACGTCGAAGTCCTCGATACTCCTGGTCTGTGTGCTGGTCACCTTGCCGCCACCACTACTGCTCGTGCGGACTGTCTCCTGCAGGACAAACAAATAGACTATTGAGACATTTTACATTAATAGGAGATTGTGACGGTCAAACAACGATCCTAACCTTCCAGTAGGTGTGTGAGTCACTTGGCTCATATGTCAATGTCTCCGCTATTGCGAAACCGAGTTATTTTCACAAAATCAAAGTGGCATCTTAAAAAATACACGAAATAGCACGGCTTCACCTTGCCGGTCAAAGGCCGGCGCGGGCGCAGGCGCCTGCTAATGTAAGGCACACAGCTGTTAATGAATCATTAATTATGAGAGGTGGACACGTTGACAGATTGCTCCGACAATTTTATATTTAAGTGCTTTCTAATGCTCGTTAACATTCATAGATAGGTACCTAAATAGATATTAAGGTATCTCATCAAATAACTGTTTAAACAAACACCTATCTTGTTCTATATACTTTGCAGACAACAAATACACTTCGATCTCTATTTCGTTTGAAGCTCTCAGTCTGTGATGTATTAAACGTTGAGCAGAGAGCCAGCTGTTGCAACATGTTGTAATACAGCTAAAAGTAAAAGAATGTATAAATTCATTGATACGAGGAGTGATGGCGGCCGCGAGCGGGAAGAAAGCAACAGCTAATTCTGTGGCACGCACGACACGCGGGGTGACCTTCAACCGCCATACCTACTGGCCGCTAGGGCTGCCGCACACTGCACTGTACTCCGTTACTACTTCATAAAGTTTATGGCGCTATTGACGTCATCGCGAGCTCCAGATGTTTTATTGAGGAAGATTTGTATCAAAACATATCTGCTATCGATTATTTTTCATTCATAATATGAACAGACGTTCCATGTAGGTAATATAAGAATTTCATTCTCACGTCGATGATGTTAATGCTGTCAAATATGTCGATGATGTTCATTATTATTAATTGGCGATGTTAAACTGTAGTAATACTTGTACTTGAATAAGAAGAACATAAATAACCTTCAGCCAGGTGAATCCAGTGCTCACTGAAGGAACTGGAGACGCGACAACCCTATTATTGTAAAGAAGTAATTCAGTGTAACGGTCGAATAGTTGTAGTCTATTTCTGAGATTCGCGCAACAATACATACACACACACTAATACATACGATAGGTAAATTTTTCAGATCATTAGATAATTCTGCATCAGTGAACAGTTTGTGTTAGTAACGGTACAGCAGCAGCGCGAGATATGTCAGGGATGCTGCGAGTTTATGTATGTATATTATTATAGGTAATACCGTATTTAGCAGACTCATTGTGTTAATGTTTTTTGTTCCATTTCATTAATGTTCCCGAAAGCTCAAAATATATTTCTTTTGAGTATTTTTCAGCGAGTGCACTACCATTGTATTGCTCTCTGATATCTTTATTGTTTTGTTTGTGTCCGCCATCAATTTGACTCCAGTCCAATTTATAATACACGAGGCAGGCAGGGGGCACCTTGTCCTGCCTCATTTGTTCTGGAGTATCATTCATCTGCCGACTGACGAAACACTTTAATATTCGTACTGGTCAGTTGTTTATGCTTTGGCGTAAAAACTCATTAGAAAAAAATAATATATATATATAAAAAATTATTAGAACATTTAGATCATTACTGTTATAAATTAAAAAGTATAGCTGAGGTACTTTGCCTCCAGTTACCTTACTTTTTGGAGGATCGGGAATGTGATACAGTTAGTTTAGACCTACATAGTCGAGCGGTGGCAGGCCGCAACTAGTGCGTGATATCACATGAATAAACTTTATGACACGTCTGATGGATGCCGCTTGTTTATACTATCTCTACAAACGATGCGCGGGCGCCGCTCCAACGCGGAACTTAGTACTTTTACGCGTGGACACTAAACTCATGACCAGCTTCTATATTAGTAGAGCTGATGTCTCCGGACATGCAGAGACAGGCGCCATTTATACTGGACAGGAGTGTCAGTTGGGAGATGGCGGCCAACTATTCCTCCGTCACCTGTATTGTGTACCTGTTGTTATCAATCACTCCCGTTCAAGAGGAAGAACTTTAGTTTCGAGGAGGAAGCTTTGTGTTTATGGTCGTTATTGCCAAGTCCTTAGTTGAAGTTGTGTTACATATAAATAAGGAAAAACATTCGTTTATCTCAGTAATGCAATTGAAACAAATCTATAAGCGAGTAATTACTACATTACTCGAAGAGCTTTCGCAAACACTTCAATTGAAGTAGCAGCACGCAGCTCCACTTAAACTAATTACTCGCAATTACCCGCAGAGTGTCTCCCGCGCGTCTGTCGCGGACTCCCAGCTATTTACCAATTGCTCTGTCTTGACAGCAGTCGGCTAAACTTAGCTCGTGAGTCAGCAGGTCAAACGGCTCGGATTCTTGTTGACTCGGAGTCTTGTTGCATTCCCAGCTACAGACTGGAGCTGCAGTGGTCATTCCAGAAGGTACAATGTCTCGTGTCCTTGCACAAGAATGCAAAGACACACAAAGTGTTCTGGTTATTTTAGGTCCAGGTTATTTTAGTGGGGGATAGGAATTTAGAAATAAACAATGAAAGTTCTTGTAGACATGGAGAAAAGTTTCGAAGTAATTCAAATACGAATACCCTTCAAACAATGATCAGTCACTGATTGACATCTGAAAACAAAGCGGCATAGCATAGGTGGGCGTTCGTTGACATCAGTGATAGGGCGAGATATCGACGTGAGTGAGTCATCTCCGCGCGTGCCAACAGCCGGCCCTTTGAAGTGATGCCCTTGTTTAGTCTCACACAGCCGCGCAATCTGTTGAACAGTAGTCGTGAATCGATAACTATTGATGGCCTGAATAACTGGATGTTGGTTGTAATACTAGCTACTCCAATTTTGTTATGCTTTCATGATCATTCGATGATCTCACTTCGTTGATGATGTTTTTAAACTACGCCTTTACTAAATGTAGAGTTTTTTACATTCTTATTTTCTAAACTTTCTTGGCAAAATACTTTAACCACTTTTTGTTTTCATTTTGTATTTGTATATATTGTGATTTCCACGATGGAAACGATAGCGCTATGTTATTATGACAGTTTATTTACCTACAATACAGTAGGTGGCGCGGCGGTGCGTGGGAGGCGCGAAATGTGAATTGCAATACTACACACGCTGTGAGTGGATATTTTTATATTATTTCGCGAATATTTCAGTTGCTGAAGTAGAGATAACATTAGATAATCATGCAATGCTTGCAACTGGGAGATTGAGATGTTTCTATGCCTTGTTGTTGATGAGCTGCAGCTTGCTTTGTTTTTCTTATGTCTCAGAGGGAAAACAATGTCATAATCATGACAGTAAATGTCTGGCTATCTGAATATTCTATTCTATTGTTTCTATGACATTTTAATATTACCATTTATTGAAGACCTAGATTAATACCTACATATTCTCAAGTGGCCGTTTAGTTTCTGTAAATGCCCGACATAGCACGTAGTACTGAAACTACATTTGACCCTATTTCACGTGAATTGATCCACAATCCGATCCGTGTAATAATAATAGGCGCGATATATTTCAGAAGATCACTGGGCCACATTTTTGGCAGGTCGCTCCGAAACTGCGCAGTAAAAATAAAACTGCGCCCGCGCATCTCCGCTTCCAATAGATCCGCACTAGCGGGAAGTGGCTGGATTGTAAATAAAATGTGCAGGAGACGAAAGATGATACCGCGCCGTGTTTACATAGCCATTGATGACGTCTTGCAATATTTAAAATTCGCACTGATTTCCTGACCTTACTGAATTTTGTGTAGGAAGCTACTTTGCATTGCTCAAGTCAAGGATTTTCCGTTTCTCACGCATTTAGATGTCTCTTATTATACGGACGATGTATTTTATGTATTACTATCGCTAATTTCTCTTCGAAGCTGTGTGTCGCTAAGACAGATGTGGCAACTTTAATGTAATTTTCCTCAACTCAAAACCAATATTATAACGAGAGTTTACCGCGTACGATTAAAATTTAATTATTGACATAAACAGTTAATGTAAATAATATGATGCAATAAATGTTTCAACGAATGCGAGGAGAGTCAGGCTACACGACGTTACTGTTAGGTACCTACATCTTAATTATAAGAAAGTGCTAACTTTCATAAGTTGGTAATAAAATACGGGAGCTCGTAAAACGCGGGAAATTAAAGTTTTATAAACACAACTCACTTGTGGAATACTTTCATTATCTTGTTATGGATGCTGTCTGTGTCGGAGAGAAAATTATTGCTTATGTAGTTACTGTAATTAAACTTTTGTTGAATTTTACCTACACTTTGATTTTCTCTTGAATGAACCTTTAATAAATATTTTCTTTTCACCAAGGCATATCAAGTTAGAGATCTTGGCGAGTAATTATAAAAGGTAGGCAAAATGTATAGGAGCTTGCAGAAGGTAGTAAGTCCACAATGATCGGCAGATCATCGAAATAAGAAGCTTAGCTTAGCAATATTAAGTATCTATTACTGTTTCCCATGACGTCTCACTATTATTATACTGTAGTTGCAATATACTATTATTATAATGTACCTAGTTGCATTATGCAAATTTGATTTTAACTACATATAATATTTTTCAGGAATATCTTATTTTATTCTATCTTAGGTAGGTACCTACCTATTGAAAACAACGATGAATTCGCGTCATAGAGATTTCTCTATGATTCGCGTTAACGGAATGAGAAAAGCTTTACCAGTTTTGTGTCACAACGGGATTCTTATTGTAAAGTTTTATTTAAAGTTTATTCACGTAAGTCACTTGAATATCTACCTATTCATATTTTCCTAATACTGTTTCAAATTTTGTTATTTAACGAGTATAAGCCTGTCGTCCTATATTTAATTTTATCTTGCCCATGACAACTTTCCCGCTTTTTCCGGAAAGTTTCCCGACGAACGCGACGTTCTATTTTCGAAAATTTTAGTAGAATCATTAGTCTTTAATTTATTATAAGTATTTAATGTATTTACGTTTGCAACATCGTAATGTTTGTGCCA